ACGTGAGGATGAGGCCGATGAAGCCGAGCGCTACGGACAACAACGCGGCTGCTGCTGCAGGGTTCGGGACACGTAGCGGCCGCGCCGCACATGCTAACGAGAGGGGTATCAAAGCAGGCAGGAGAGGCGGGGTTTTTCTGGTTCTGTGTGAGGAGAGGAGACAAGGACTGGGGAGCGGGGAATTCTTGGAGATGTTTAACAGCAGGGAGAGTGGATGAAACATCCTTGTTCGCTGTCCTGCCCCTGTGATATCCTGGGAAAACAGAGATGATCCGCTGGGTTCTGTGTAGGAACTGGTGGAGGTGCAGAGAAAACCTTTCTATTTAAATTTAATTGGAGTTTTTTTTTTCTTCTTTTTTTTTTTTTGTCTCATTGCTTTACTTTCATGGGAAATCATGGCAAACATGACTTCCACTGGCTCTTTTTGTTCACTTGAATTAGGGATTGCAGATGAGGTTTTTATCTTGCGACTGTATTTTAATTCCGACTGTGGCGTCTTACTGCATGGCCTCCAGCGTTTTGCATAAAAAAACACATTTTAAGGCCCATAAAACGAACGTGTACGGATGGTAAACCCAGTGACTTCAGACAAGCTGAATCTCCCTGCGACCACCTGCCGAACATTAATCACTTTTAGTAATAAACATGAGCAGATTTTAACCAAACACTGTTTTTTAGATTAGATGTCGGGGGGAAAAGTCAGTAAATGAAGCCTGCAATTAAATTATTCAAATCATTTTTGGCATTCTGCTTCGAAAGCGTCGCGGCATAAATCATCATTTGTTGGATAACTTTGTTTATAAAACTGTAGAGTTAACAAGAGCGGGTCACATGAGCCAATCTCAGTGGGCAAATAAAGCCCAGGGGAGGCGGCTTAATCGGGTAATGTAGTTAATAACGTCTGAAGGGTGATGAATGGCCACTGCCATTTCTTGCGGAGTTTTTAGACAACAAATTAGCTTCATTAATGGTCGGCGTTAAAGGAGCTCTGAAGGAAACTGATTAACTGAATATTATCTAAATTGAGTCAATTTACACCCGGTTTGAGGGCCTGCAGTACAAATTAATGGCTCCGTTGTAATTTATATGTTTATTTACGTTAACCCCTCGCGTTTCCCTTCAGCTCAGCCGGTCGTTGGACGCCGTTTCTCAATTTTCTTCTGAGAAAAAGAGAGGCAGACGAAGCCTTTTTAATTAAATCAACATCTAGGACCTTTTTCTTATTGCCAATTAACTTGGCTCGGTGACATAAAAAGGGCTTTTCAATTGAAAATAGCAGGAGACCGTGAGATGACGGACAGCTTCAATTGCTACTTTTAGAATCATTCCCTGATTTTGATCAGCGCTGTGTGTCTGCTTAGAATTGAAAGGAAGAAAATCGGGTTTTTTTTCCCCCTGAAAAGCAGAGCCATAGGAGGTTTGTGATGTATTTTGGGCGGCGGCGTTTATATACCTACACGCTGTTCCAAAGTCGCGATCGCGGCGGACTCTTTATTGTTATAGAGATTAGAGTAAAAACAACAGTTCCTTTGATCTCAGGACACTAAAGGAACACATTCCTCCAGATCTTGCGACGGCCGTGACTGTCTCCTTCAGGACATCCGTCCTAAGGATTGGACGGCTGTATTTCTTCAGATTCCTCCAGGGGTGGCGGGACACAAAAAGGGATGACACAGATTATGGGAGATTGATGAGAGTGATAAATCCTCCCTCTTTTATGCCCCTCAAAACTGCTTTTCATCAGCTTCTCAGCAGTGTGTCCGGCTGATTGATGACGACGCTGTTCATTCTCCTTGTCCACTCCTCAAGCTGTTTATGCTCTGTTTCCCATCACAGATGCAGATCTACCTGTACAATTCCGATGACTTTGACAGCCTCACTGCTGCCATCAAGGAGCAACGCATCATTGCTGCCATGGCTGTTTTCTTCGAGGTAAGAACTGTCCTGGAGACTGGAGGTCAGTGCGTACACGCAACGGAAAATCATTGGTTCTAAAATAACTGTGGGGTAGAGATGTTTTTTTTTTTGCGAATATCCGAGATGCCGACATTGTCCAAAAACTTAATTTTCGATTCCGATATCAACCAATACCTACATAGGGGGCAGTGGTGCCCTGGTGGTGAAGGAAGTGAAGTGACTCACTAAGAAAAAATAATTGACAAACACTGCTTTACCCCGTCATGGTTTAAAGCAGTGTTTGTCAATTATTTTCTGCCTTGCCCCCCCTAGGGGACAGAATATAGTTGACCCCCCTGACCCCCAGAATTAAAATACTATATTAAAAGCTGTTTATCTGTACAAACCAGGGACCAGCATTCAGCATACAATCCCCTGATTATTAAAATAGATTATTAAATTGGCTGCAATGCTGCCATCTAGAGGCTTTTACTTGCACATACAGCCGTTTTTCCCCAAAACTATTTTCCAGGCAAACGTCATTTGGGTAAACCCAGGCACTGTGTTGTCGGGTTTTCATTATCGGAGGTAAAACTCAGTATGATTCTTACAGATCTTAAACAGTCGTGCTAATATATCGGGGTCGATAATATCGGACATCCCTGGCGTGGAGTACAGAGCAGCATCGGTGCCACCACCAGACCTGAGTTGATGTTTGGGTCTGTGTTTGGTTCCATCCAGTGACGCTGCAGCGCCCCCTGATGAGGGGACGAGCCACAGATGATTCTTCTTCACTCGCGAGCACTGGAGTGACTCTCCTCTGAATGAGAGTCTTTATGTAATTGCTTTTTATTAGGATGGTGGTGGTGCCAACCAAATAGGAAATTATTTTTCATCTGCTCATGAAAACACTTTGACACGACGGGAGAGTGAATAAATTAGAGAAACAACAGTTGACTGAAAAAAAAAAAGACTTTTATGCAGTTAGCATTGCTCAGGCTGAAACTGAACTTCAGGGCAAAAGGACAAAACCGTGAACAAAAAAGATTCAGAAGAAATAAGAAAAAAATAAAAAGGACAAAAAAGATTCAGAAGAAATACGAGAAAAAAAAAGAGGCAACGGTTCAGTGTTTGATGATGAAATAGATAAATATGTTGTGTTTAAAGATTGCTGTAATGAAAAGTATTAATTAGAATCAATCTTTAGCACCGTTGCTGTGATAGGACATTTTCTTTTCACCTGGTTGCTCATTATTTCTTGTGTTCGGTGGCACATTGCAGATTGCTCTGAGATAGTACAAATTGCCCCCCGAAGGTCCGCGCACACGAGCACTTAATGGACAAGATTGGTCCTAATTTCTCCTAACTGTAAAAACACTTGTGAGATTTATGGAGCATGAAAAGGCGTACACCGGCGGCACTGACTGATCCTCGGGATCCCCCATGTTACACACCTTAATTCCATTAGCTCTATCTCCCTGATTAATGGCAGGGGATCAATGCTCGCTAACAATGAGCTTAGCAGTATATAGGTGAGGGTCAGCGCGCGGCGGCGCTAGGCTGGAACGGGGACACAGGTGTGTGTGTAATGTAGGTCTGCTCTTAGACAGTGATGAACCGTGTGTGTGAGTGAACCTAAATGCCTCCGCTGGGTCCTGACAGCCCTATTGCTTACTGCAATTAGTACCACCTTACAAAATACGCTGAGTAGCACTTTATAGTGCAGGGGATTTTAGGCGGTCACACACACACACACACACATTGGCTTAGATTTACCATTTCTAATCAATGAGGGGAGTTCTTCTTAAGCTCCCCAAAGGCCTATTAATGGGCTCTAAGGTGTGCATATTATCCACATTCAGCAATCAGTTCCACACAATTATTCTCCTATGACTGACTTGAATTAATGTTGAGCAAAGGGAAGATTGGTCCCCACGTCCCAACACTGTTTTTGTCCAGTCTTGTCTCTTAAGTAGAACGTTGGCAATGCAGGGAGGGGAGGGGGCTGGGAGGGGGGGGGGCTCAGCCTGAACCATATTTCCCAGCCCTTTCTGTCACAGCAGATAATTTACAGTGAGTCTAACAGGTAAACACGACAGTATGACAGTAACTGCGTGAGCCAGGTGCTGTGGTGTCAAATCTGAATCCTCCTGATTCCAACGCAGAGCAGCTTTTCATAACTCTTTTAATGATGTGTTAAATACTCACGTCAGTTTGTCAAAGCCAATTTCTGTGACTTAAAAAAAAAAAACTAAACCAGTGTATGATTATGTTAAACTGCACCCCCTCTTACCCCTCCCACCTGGGGTATCCTCAGCAATTAGAATTCAAAGGACGACCTGGAAAAGCGTTCACGTGGAGAACTTTGCCGCGGCCTGTTCTTGTCTGTTTTATTGTTATGCAGATGATGCCATTACCGTGCTCCCCTCCCGCCGTCCGTTCACGTTAATTGCCCATTTTCTCTCATATTAATCTGGTCTCTAATCTCCTCTGTAATTTCTAACGTCCTGCAGGTGGGACCAAAAGACAATCCAGCTTTAGATCCTATCATCCAGGGCCTAAAAGGAGTCGTGCATCACGGTGAGTAATGACAAGGACGGACCTGGTCACATTTTAATGATTCCTTCAGACGTGATTTTTTTTTCTTTTTTCTGGGGAACAGTTGTGTTTATATCGTGATTTAAAGAGTTTTGAAATGTTTTTTTTTTTTCTTCTTCTTCTACACCACATGGAACTTGGAGCTCTGAGGATTAAATTCCTCTGAAATATTCAAAATAAATAACCTCACGCAGATGTACACTGATGTTGCCTGGTTCTGATGTGCTGGTTGTTTCTAGCATTAAATTCTTCATGGCAGTGCCGGCATGGGGCTCCTCTCTGCCTTCGCACTTTGATTCAAACACACTATGTTGTTTCTTAAATATCAAATTAGCATAAACACGAGACGTGAGCACGATTTAACCAGAAAACGCGGCTCCGTGATATTCCCTCTCACTGGTTGGTTCGGCGTTCAGCGTTCTGGCGGGGGGGCCTCCGAGGAGCTTCTCTCACCAAGACAGAAATGGTAATCACATTAGTGCCTCCATTATAGACGAGACTCAGATGTACATGTTCACACTGGTGGACAGTTGCCCCCGCAGAGGCTCGTATTCACAGTGAAAACATTAAATTCTAATGCTCCATGTCACGGCCCTGCTCGTGGCATATTGTCTTGAATTACTTCTGCTTTCCTGGCTCCACTGCGTGCATGACTTATACAGACTATTGGCTCCGCGGACGCAGACACATGATGCTTGTTTTTGCGACCTGAGGCTGACTGTCCTAACGTGAACATAATCATACATGGACACGTAAATGGCCAACGCGTGTAACACATGTATAAGCACGGATTATATATTGGAGCGCAGTCGGCGGAGGCTCCGAGAGAACAACTCCAGGCTGTAGGTGGAATAAAATGAATTGCACAAATCCAGGCAGACTAACAGTGTGCAGCAGCTGCTGCTGCAGCAGAAGAGAAAAACAAAATCAGAAAATCACAGAGTCAAAATCATAGTCAATACAGGGAGGTGGGAGAAAATCTGGTTCAGCAAAACGTTACATAAAAGCTATGACACACAGAACAAAAACAGAGACTTTAGCAGTGAAACTGGATCAGTGTACACAGTGGGGAGCACTGTGGGTGAGGGAGGGGGAGGGGGGGCAGCAGGTCATATAAATACTGGTGCGAAAGGCAGGTAAGTTCAACCAGCAGGGTCTCATTTTTGTTGTTGCTGTAGAGAAGACAAGTCTGTTTAGAGGTTTGTTTGTTTTTTTTTAATTTTAAGTCAGAACAAGAACACTTTTCTTAAACAATTTGGAAAAACCAGTTGCTTTTAAAACACTGCTTCTAAAAGTTTCAGCCATAATGTAATTATTTATTATCAGACTCTACTGTACTGGAGAGTTGCCAGGACATTAGTCATATTTATATGGAGCTCCTCCATCACTCTCCATAGTGGTTGAACACCGTGCTGTGCAGCTACAAAGATGTTGCTAAATCCCAGTATCTCATGTCCCAGCTGAGTGAGCTCAGTGTGGGTGTGGTAGTTTTTTGGACCCTCTTCCTGCCGGCAGCTAAATGCGCCTCATCTCCTCCCCCCATTTGGTTGGTTGGTTGGATTTTCCACTTGCTCGTTATCCCACAGTCATCCATCCATCAGCATCTCGGCAGCCCATTAGCGATAGGGCACGTACGCTGCCTGAAGATCAGGAGGAGAAAGGCTGTGAATACTGAATCTGACTCAGAGTACCGGCTGAGATACGGAGGCAAGTTCCTCTGTAATGCTATCAAATGCAAACCACACCTCGAACCTCTGTTTTTTGCCAGATAAGGTTGTTAGCTGTGAGGCGGGATTTGACGCAGTTTCTGCTTCATTTGCGTTTATCGCATCAAATTTTAAGGAAAAAACAAGCCCACACACATGGTCCATGTGTTGGAGATAAAGGAGTCTCCCCCCAGCCCCGCCGCCCCCCGCCCTCACAAACTACTGCATGTTATTGTTTTTTTTTCCAACACGGCCCTGCCGGGTGCTGATCAGACGATAGAACAGATCCTGCAATCAGATGGATCTGGCCTAATCTCTGTGGCCCACTGCTATGGTCATTAACATGGAGAGGGTTTTAACATAGTAGGAATCCACTGCCAGGCTACACATCAGCAGCCAGGATGAGCCATTTTCTAAAACGACCCTCCATTTGCTCCTCTCTCAGCCCATCTGAGAACAGGGATCTGACCAGAGTGAGAGAAAAAAAAACTGCTTTCACCATCACTCCATTAGTGAGGTTTCCAAGAGAACACACTGAGAGCCTAAAAAAAAGGGTCTTTTATATGTTGATCTAATGTAAGTCCAGACACTGGGACATAACATACACAAACATATATATATACTGTATATATATACATATACAGTATATATTTATACATATACATACTGTATATACATATATGTATATATATACATATACACAAATATATTCATATATAAATATATGAAGAACGTATATATGTATATATACAGTATATGTACACATATAATATAATATAACAATAATTAAAAATGTGCTGATCCAGGGACCATATACTGTGTAACAACTTTTCACCATAACCCGGTGCAGACTCTGTGTTGTGTGTTTTCCTCCTTCGGGTCATGGGTAGTTTATTTAAGTAGGTCAACAACGTCAGCAGTTTATATCCTCGGTCAAAACTGGTGGAAATGTGCGTGAGCCAATCAGGGCCGGCCCTTTTCCTGCTCCACTTCCGGTGCCGGAAGTTAGCGGCCAAGTTGAACAAACACGCAGAATCGGAGTCAGCGAACTTGGAGATGAGAGCAACGGGATTGATGTTAGCCGTGACTAGGAGTTATCCTCCAAAAATTAAGCCGTTGTACGAGGTATGTTGGCGGTCGGTTTCCTCAAAAACCAGCGACACAACAAGTCTGTTTTAATTGTTTGAAGAAGTTCCAACCAAGAGATTATCCGTAAAACACAAAGTTGCTCACAATCTGCCACTGATGCTAATTTAGCACGGAGCTAGCGTAGCATTAGCGGCTAATCTACTGTTAGCGGCGCAGCCAAAGCAGCGTTAATAGTATCATCTTTTGCGGCCTTTGCGCCGTAGGAACAACATTAAAAGATGAGAAAAACGATTACACATGCATTTGGTTTTTGTTTTGTTTTTTTTAGTTAAAGACATGATGCTTTTAAACTCGGAGAAAGATGAATTTAAACATGTATTCAAAGTGCTGGACCCGGCGTACGAATCTTCAATGCTACAACCAAATGAGACTGATGTTTAAGATGTTAAATACTCTTCTATATGTATTTAATTTGATTTATTTGTATTATAAATTCATATGTTGGGTTTACTGTTTGTTGAATATTCAGTCCTGCTCATTTTTATAACAATACATTGTGTTTGTGTTGTATTTCAACTTGAAACTAGCTATGTTTTATTTTTATGTTGCTGTACAAAACATGGCTCAACAAGGGTTTCATCTTTTTATATTGACACAGTATGTTTTCATGGTTTCCATAGAAAAAGAGACCAACCTGCGGTCTTTCATCCTGAGGGATCTGCTGCCTTCATCATTGGACAGTTATTACCGATACACCGGCTCCCTGACCACACCTCCCTGCAGCAAGGTAGTGGAGTGGATCGTCTTCTCCCGCCCGGTGTATCTGTCTCACACACAGGTGCGTTCAGTTCTCTCTCTCTCTCACACACACACACACTCGTGCCAACTCGCCCAGACCACCCTCAGTCAAAACCCATTTGCACATAGGCACTAGATCAGTTTCTGGCCTCCAGTGTTGACGCATAAGCAATTTCTCCCTTCATTTACCTCTCCTCTTTTCTCCCTCTACCCATGTTCCTCCTCAACTACTCTGCATATGAAACTATAACTGCCAATATAGGGGGTGATTAAACGGGGAGGGGGAGCCAATTACTAGCATTTGAGTCACAGTAAGTGTACGACAGCTCTTATAGATATATCATGCTGTAGGCTCAAGACAAGAACTAGAGGCTCTTAAATGGAACGGTGCCGCACGTGTATTTCAAATGTTCATTCATCTTAGTTACGGCCACAACTGTTTAATACACGTCAGATGAAAACGTAAAGATTTTACTGCTTCGCCCACGACGGCTTGCCTCCAAACGGTGGAGCCATTGTGATTTCTGGGAGATAATATATGCCAAATCATGCCCAACACTTTCTGCTGATCCCGTATACAGTGCTTTGCTGCATCTTTTATACATACAGTTCTTGGGCGACCCAGCTGCATATCCTCCAGCGCACCCTGCACTGTGGAAATTTGCAAGGCTCAGTAGAATTTCTATCAGCTTGCGGGAGGACAAATCTTTTGTTCAGAAATGACTTGTGCTGCAAGAATATTGACCCATGCTGGACTGTTTGCGACGCTCACAGATAGTATTTATGAAGCTGTAATTCATTTTTCCAAGCATGCGTAGGACAGATTGATTCCACAGGGTCTGTAATGTGTAGTCATTACAGCACGCGGCAGGAGATCATTCATGACAATCAATGGCCACAAATTTTGCCCCATTGAAGAGTAACAGGCTGGTAGGTGGCCAGGATTGAGATTGAGGTCCACTCCTGCTGGTGCCTGTGGTGTGAATGTGTCTTGCAGACACTGTGCTCTGCTTGTGTAAAGTCGGGCAGCAGCAAGTGATTGGAATATAAGATTTCCTGGATGGTAAAGAGTCAAAATCTCTCAAATTTGCTTCAAATAAATATTTCTTTTTTTTCTTTTGTTTCTTCTAGCTGGAGGCGTTTTATTCCATCTTTACAACGGAGCAACAGGATCATGTCAAGTCTGTCGAGTACCTGAGGAACAACTTTCGGCCTCTGCAGGATCAGGACAACAGAAAGGTCTTTAAGTCGGCTGTGAAGGATGCGTGGCAGAATGATTTGTCTGAGATCCTGAGAGCCCCTCACAGCACCGAGGCCTCCAGAGGTAACAATCGGTTTTAACCCCGTACTCCATTTGTAGTCATTCATATATAGTTCACCTCCAAAGAGAGACGTAAAGAAACCGAGGATAGTAAACATATTTAAAATATTTTACAAGAAAATACTCTTGCTGACTGCCCATGGACTGCAGGCAGGCCAGTTCACGTCTGAGGTTTCAGGTTTCACTGTGTTTTATGTTTTATTTAAAGGATTTCTTACTCTCCTGGATAAAATTCAGGAGGCTTTTCTTGCTGAACCTTTTGCTCGAACTAACTCCACAGTCAGACTATAAAATGTGTTCAGTTTGATCGAATTTTGATTTTCAATTTTTTTGACTGTGTCTGGAACATTCAGTATGTTTTCCCGTTTGCACTGGTTATAATGTTCTTGGATTGAGTTCCCGACTGGAATTGATCAAATATATTTTTGCCCAAATTTTAGATATACTATTATGTTATTTATGTACTACTTGTATGTACTTGAATTTTATATTATTTATTTAATTAATTTGGTAAATTATTTGTTTTAGGATTTTCTAAAATTTTTAACTTATTTGTTTTAGGATTTTCTAAATTTTTTTAACTTATTTGTTTTAGGATTTTCTAAAAAAAATTTTTGTTTTCTGATTTATTTATTTTTTTCACAATTTTTAAAATATTTTATTTTAGTAGTTTAAAGGGATACTTTATACAGGAAGGTACAGTAGAGTAATTTACTGTTCTTAATGTGCAGTATATGTGGAGAGTGACAGTGTTAAATAATTGTGATTTCATTATTGGGGGGGAAAAATGATGATTATTATTTAATTAATACTCTCAGGCCTAAATGCACTCTGTAATTAAAGCCCCCCCAGAGTAAGAAGGTGTTAAAATAACTGTACAACAGCCGTGTCCTCTCTCAGAGTGAGTGTACACCGTCCTCCGGTCTCTGCTGCTCATACTTTTCATCGTGAACATGTTAATACCGAGCTCAGATCTCTGCAGGCTCTAATGGATCACTTGTTTTTCTTTTATGCCTTTGCGTTGTTGCACTCGCCGTACTGAGCAGCACATGAGCGATGGAGACTAATGAGAATGGCTGCTGCTTCTTAAAGTGCTGCTGGTGTCTGGTGGGGAGAATTGATCGGTAATGCCTGTGATGAAGCTGGAGCTGTGTAACGGTGCTGATCAGCAGCCGTCATTAATAACTTGTGCAACTAAAATAGACCCGTGTAAATGGGTCTGTGAAAATGCCTTTTGTGGCACTCTGTCACTATGTAGACTGAGTGTTGACCACTATCTCCTCTCCCTTTGATTTTTTTTTTTCCTCCCTCCTCTACTCCCCCTCCTCTTTGCTCATTTTCTTTGTGTTTCACACATTTGTGTTTCTCTCTGTTAAAATGAAAGAATGCATAGTTGATGAGAGGCTGTGGGAGTGAGCGGTGTCAGCCCTATCTCCAGGGGTGGTATCTGTCAGCCTGCGAGTGTGTGTGTGTGTGTGTGTGTGTGTATGAATAGCGACTAGTGGGGAGGTGGTCAAAGTGTGTGTGTGTGTTAGTGTGTGAATAGCGACTAGTGGGGAGGAGGTCAGAAAACTCAGTAAATGATTATTCTGCTTGTAAATATTCGGCCACACCCTGACTGCTGTAGCCGTGAGGAACTAATGAAGCTGCCTTTTATTTATTTTTACTTTTATTCCTGATGAAGCTGAACCACTGAGTCATTTGGACATTTTGTTATTTCTTGATAATATCAGATGTAAAAACAAACTGCGCCTCTTGATGGGTTCAAGTCTTGAAAGTTTTACATTTATTATTAGCAGGAGTGAATACGTATCACGATACTGGAGCGACAATACGATATACTGCAGTACTGTCGGCATGGCGATATATTGGAGTTTTTTTTTTTCACACAACGCTGTTCCATCTTCACATCAGGTTATTAAGATGTTCGACTATTAATTGTTCATAAAAATAATCGCTACAATACTGTGGAATATCGATACAGTATTGTGAAATGAAATATCGCGATCACATCGGCGTATCGATATTTTCTCACACCCCTCGTTGTTAGTCTATATTTGTCATTATGTACTGTATTTGTTTTTAGCTGATACTCAATTAATTGTTAATCCTGATGAATCTGTGTTACGTTCTTTAAGCCGACCTCACGGCAGTGAAGTCTGAACCCAAATCTTTCAATAGAAGCAAAGTAGCACGTTCTCAGAAATCAAGTAACGATTGCTGCAAAGAACATGTCGCTAAATTAAGTCACTCATCTTTTCATTTTCATTTATCCAGCTGATTAACTTCAGCAACAGCCGTAACCTTGTCTAACATAGTAAATCAGTGTTATGAGTGTTATGTTTTTTTCTGTTTTTTTTTTTCCCCCCTAGCAACAATTGCACATTATCAGAAAATAAGATCAGCGAAGGTGTTGGTGTGTTCTCACACACTCTACCTGGCTTCACCGCTAAACTTGGGAAATGCCAATTATCTGTGATAAAATCAGTTGTATATCTCCCTTTGTGTTTGCAGCAAAATGTTCGTTTTCCGCTGTTATTATTGCGATGCCTGCCACAGCTCCTGTAAGAAAATAAAGGTACGTCACTGAGAGGTGACAAGAAGGGAAAGTGCTGTTTGTTGACAGCAGTCGATTCATCCTCGGAACGGTAGAAGCTGCCTGGCACCGAAAAAAAAAGAGAGTTCCCTTTTCTTACTGCTTAAAAATGTAGCATTTCTGTCGCACACACGTTTACTGCTTAAAAATGTAGCATTTCTGTGACACACAAAGTTTATGGGTTTCAGTTAAACGTGAGATTATGTGACAAAGTCTCATTTGCGTTCAGATTTTGATTGGTTTAATGTTGGCGACCATCAGTCGGCTGTTATGAACATTAGTCCAAGTCGGAAAATCTTCCAGATTTATACATTGTGTTTATTCATTTAAGAAGGAGGAGGGGAGGTGTTGACCTGGTTTTCTGAAAGAAAGAAAAAATATTCAGAGAACATGTAGATATAGAACCAAAAGACCTTGGCCGCCTGTTGACTTTATTGCTGCGATAGCTTCAAAGAATGATGAGTGTGAAGGAGGCAGCGGAGGCACAATATCTTTAACTAATATTAAAGCAGTCGCTGGAGTCACTGGAGTTGACAGTCAGACAAGCATCAGGTAATAAAACATTCCACACTTGTCACACCTTCACAGCACCATCACCATTTTTCTTACTCTTTCATTTTCCCCCTGTGTCTCTCTGATTTCCTGACTAATTTTCTTCAGCTTGTTTCATTTTCACATATCAAACTCCCATCATTTTCACCACAGCTTCACTGAGCAAATAGGAAGAGAAGAAAAAAAAAAGCCCCCGCTGTAGTGACAATTTCAATTTGGTCGAAACCATGTGATGACATAAGCAGGTGATAGGAGGAACTGTGTGCTGGTGCCCCCCCCACTCCCCTGCTAAAAAGCATGTCCATTATTCCTTATTCATACTGACGCGTCACTCTGTAAACATCAATGATGAAGCCTACAGTGCCACCTTGAGGCCAACTGGCAGATTTTCTTTCATCCTCTCTCTGCACCATGGGGAATGTTACACAGCAGAGGACCTGGGGTATTAGTTAGAGACAGGAAGGTGCAGTGTCTCATTCTGGGTCTCATGTTCGCAACTTATGTGTGAATTTTTAATTATTTTTTTCTTTTAATGAATCTACCTTAAATCTCTCACTTTGGTGAAATTGATTTGACAGGGTTTCTGAACGGTGACACCACAGGCCGGTCTGAGAAGTGGTTTATTTGTGCAGCTCCTGTTGTGTCTGAATCATTTTGAGGTCAGTTATGAAATATGTCTTTGGCTGTGGCTGGTTAAAAGGCAGCCTGCGTTCTACCCACACACTGATGCAAATTCAAACCGTCAAGATGCTCTCAAATCCGCGGCTTCCCCTAGCTGCATTAAGAATCCTCTTTTTCCATTTTTTTTTCTCTCCAAATCAGATATTTTATTTGCATTCTGCTCCGTCCTCACTCTCTGCTCCCCTGACTGTTATTTCAGTGTGCAGCAGTGCCCCAGTGAGCATGAAGATTCAGCCGCTGAACCGGACAGCCCTAATGGTGAGCTGGGAACGCCCTCTGACCGTCTACCACCCGCCTATCACCAGCTACACCGTCTCCTACAGCTGGGCCAAACGTGACGAGGCAGATGAAAACACCTTCACCAAGACTGGAGACCAGAGCATGGTGAGTACCGACTCCTGGAGCTGATGACACGCTCTGATTGGTGCACGCCGCCGCAGACGTGTCTGGCAGAAATGGAGGTAATGCCGCGTTCGGGAGGTGACAAGTTGTGATGAACTTTGCGAGTGTCTGCGGGATGATAAGAGAGACCAGACTCTTTGCTGTCACTCACCTGTCTAAATATAGTCACAGAGACACGTCTCACACACGTGTCATGGACGACTTACAGTGGATTCAGATTCAGAAAGTGTTATTTATCCCCACGGGGCAAAATAGAGGGCAAATAACAGCACATTGACAATAACAGAGATAATTGAAAGTGAATATGGAAAAATAGTAAAAAAAAAAAAAAGTAACATGGTACATAAAAATGTATGTATGAAGTATTTATAAATATAAAAAAATATATCCAGTGAAAAATTACCATTGCATTCGATTATTTCAAGTACTGATTTACATCATTGCATTCGATTATTTCAAGTACTGATTAGTAGTATAGTAAGTAGTATAATAATGTATTTTACATATATTAACATGTAATCAAAAATCTTATACCAGTGCAGTGTTTCTACACTGTTTACTTCTGCTGTTTCACAATACATTTTGTAATATATTCAAGGGCACTAATTCAATCTACGTCAACGTCTGACAAATTATTTTTTGTTTGAGGTTCAGACAATATGTAGTTACAGAATGTATTTATAATGGTTTTTTCCTTGTTGTTATTATTATTATTATTATGGGGTCTGATTCAGTACATTTTTGTATCTGCCTAAACATTGAGCGTTACATTTCAAGATCAGAGTCACTGATTGAGGTTTTTATTACTACCTTTTTATTCCCGTTGTTCCAATTTTCAGGAATCCAGCCACACAGTCAGTCAGTCAGTCAGTCAGTCAGTCACCTCCTAACGCTGACTGACTGTCATGACTACAGCTGGTTTCACTGATGCACCACAAACCTGAAAACTCTGAGCTCACACGTCCATTGACCAGTAAATGACTGACATTACCGACGCCGTTAAAAGGCTCCGGTTTCCTACACGCTCCAGCCAATCACCCGCCCTCACCTACACCAATCAGCATTACAGTTGGTCTAGCTGAGCACGTGCAGTATTAGCGTTACATTCTGTGACTCGGTGCCGCGTATGAAAAATAAAAATGGTAATACTATGTTCTGCGTTAACCAGATCCTCTGGATATCCTCCAAAGTGCAAATGTGAAAAACCTTCTAATGCTCAGCTAATGGATGAGATAATCACCACTTACTGAGCATTAACTTTAAAAAAATCACCCCAGACTCCATATGTTGCCTGATTGCTGTTTGTATAAGGACAATCAGGTTTGAACCAATTTGCATGGCTGAGAATCGGCGCGTCGCGTTGGAGGAGACTTTCTCCATAACGATGATAAGAAGTGGTGTGGAGGAAGACGAGGAAAACACCAGGGAGAGAAGACGGATGTTGTCATCGCTGCATAATTCTCTCTAATAGAGATTTATGAATAGTTAAGATAAGACACAATTCAATGGGAGCGATCTTTACCCTTGGACAGATTTGGCTTGTCAATTTAAATGTGTGTTATTTATGACTCAACAAGATGATCAAAAAAAAAAACCTGATAAATCATTCAAACAGAAATTAAAAATCTTCATCTACGCAGCAGCCAGTTTATCACTCTCAGTTTTATTGGCAACAGTTTCAAAAACACCGTGTGTGAATAATGGGCCTATAGGTTTCTGTAGTGTCTGTAGTGTCTGATGCGTCTGTAGTGTCTGTAGCGTCTGATGCCAAATCTAAAGATTCTTAATTTTCACTTGTGTTTCTGAGTTTTAGAGCAGCGTTCAATACTGGGATGTACTGTAGTCATTGGTGAAGTTCTGAGGGTCATTAAGGTCATGTTGACTTAGGATAGTGGTTGTCAAAATTGGAGGCGCACCCCCCTGGGGGCAGCGTGTAGCTACTGCAGCAGTGAGAATACCAGATTGATAATAAAGTGTTGTTTAAAAAGATTTAAAAAGATCTGTATTTTTACAGACATCTCTGTGGAAAAAAATAAAAATATTTGGTTCAAAATACAGTTTTAAAATAAAGTTCACTGCAGCTTTGCAGAAAAACCTGTGATTGTGGTCCAACATGGGGAACCATAACGTTATATTTACAAAAATGGAGGTTGAAGGAAAAACACAACGGCCTGAGACCGTTTTTTTAAAATACTCACCTGGTAGCTGTGGATGAATTAGGATCAGGATTAATCTAAATAAATCTGCATTCATAAATGTGTTTGAATTTTGCTGTTTTAAAAAATACAAATAACAGGAAGTAGATCTGTGTGTTTCTACCTGTTTATATTTGTGACTAATCAGAAGGAATGTGAAAAAAGTCAAGAAAAATATGCAAATGTACAACTCGATTAATTTCATTTTTTTTTTTTTAAATGCAACCATCTGATCATGTGTGCCTTTGTGAAAACGCTGCCCCCAACTTTTCAGAAATATATATTTATTCAGTTCATCTAAAACCAGCCATTTCCCAGAAATCAATGCGGAACCGCCTCTCGTTCAGAGCTGCCACTTAAGTTATTTCTGCTGTTAAAAATAGAAACTCTCTCAGTCCTGATGTGCTAGTTACTTTTCTATTATTGTTTTCAATTGCACCGAGCGGCGTTTTCACTGCTGCCTCGCCACACTGCGCCCTGAGATCGTTCTTTTTCCAGTGTTACGAGGCAGATAAGTGACGAAGGCTGTTGATGATTAACTCGCATCAGAGCGCTGACGTTAATTGTTACGCTGAATAATTTATTGCGAAATAGAATACAATCGGTTAGAATTTATGACGCGGTAAAAAAAACAGGTTAACGTATTTATTCCGTGGATTTTTGCAGTTGTTTCAGCTCTAACAAAACGTATTTTTCTGGCAGACGGAGGGAGAATAAAAGCGTCCACGTCTCTGTTCTCTCCCCTCACCTTCCTTGTCTCTCCGCTGTCAGTCTCCCTTCATTTCCATTTCAATTTTCCGTTCCTATCTGTGGAAACCTTTATCTGGATTATTTTAGAAAAATACTAGCTGTGCAACACCAAAGGCAATCACTCATCCATTCAAAGGGCCATTTTAATATAAGTAAAGCCTTTCACAGCCCGCGTTGGCCGATTCAATTAGAGGGAAAATGTGTTTTTTGACACTGCATTGAAACTGTGGGTCAGATTATATTAAAGGACGAGTTGCTTTATGTAGTGTTCTTTCATTTTCAGAAATATTGAATATCCGCAGTCACTTCGGCACGGCAGGTGTGTTTGAATGACAAATAACTTTTTTTGTTTGTTTGTTTGTTTCCTCCTCCTGCAGAAAGCAGTCATCACCAACGTGTCCCCGGACGTTCTGTACCTGTTCAGAGTGCAGGCCGTGTGCCAGCACGACCTGCGCAGTGATTTCAGCCAAACGCTGATGATCAGAGGTAAATCGTTTGCTCTTCGTTTTGCAGTAAAAAAACAAAGAAAAGAAAGAAAATGGTAAACAATACAGATTTGCTTCCCTCTTGTGTTTTACAGCAAATACAACAAGAATATTTGAAGGGTCTCGTATCGTGAAGACTGGAATGGTGAGCTGTGACCTGTGCAAATAATGTTTATAAAATAATCGGTTTAAATCTCCTGTGAAGATGAGGGAGTGATCATTTACTATTTGTTTCATAAATACTTTTTTTTTTAATTGCATGCCATTAGTATCAACCCTGGTGTGTGTATATATGTATAAATATATGTATATATGTATGTATAATTATATAGATGTGTGTATATATATATTAAAAAATATCTATGTATATATATGTATATATAGGGTTGATCAACATTCATAAATGTGTGTGTATTTTGCTGATTTAAAACTACAACTAACAGCAGGCAGATGTATGTGTTTCTTATATTTGTGACAAATCCAAAATGATGGATTTATGAACTGTGAAAAATAAGCAAGAAAAAGTCCAATTCTGTCTTTCTGGAGTTGGTGTATTTTAGTCATCACTGTGAGTCTTGACGCCGACTCTTAGAACTGGTGAGAGTCACTTTCGGTGCTTCAGTTGAGCCCTTGTCCTCGACGATAGAGATCCGTCCACAGAGACGTGTGACGGTGGTGTCAGTCAGGTGTCCAGACGTAGACCGCCCTGCACTCGTTCAGTCTGCACTGACGTGAGCCAAGTGTCTGACCTGAAGACGGAGAACTAATAAGATGACCACCTTTGGAGAATGTTTATCTTTGACAACCGTTTTTATTTTTATTTTTTCTTCTGCTGGTCCCACAGCCCACCATCTCTCCAGCGTCCTCCGCCGACATGGCTCCAATAAGTTCTGGTTCCTCCACGTGGACGTCGTCCGGTATTCACTTCTCCATCGTTTCCATGGCAACGGGGATGGGCCCTTCCTCCAGTGGCAGCCAGGCCACCGTGGCGTCAGTGGTGACCAGCTCCTTGCTGGCCGGCCTGGGCGTGGGTGGAGGAGTCATCTCTTCTCTGCCCAGTTCCGTCTGGCCCACGCAGGCCCCACGAGCCACGCAGAGCCCCAACCGGCCGGCGACCACACCTGCACAGGCCAGCACCGAGCAGACGGCTTCTCAGAGCTCGGAGACGGACGCCGGGTCTGAGGACAAGCAGGCGGAACGTGAGGGGGAGGAGGACGAGGGTGGGACGGGAGGAGAAAAAGAAGACGGC